GTACCTAAGGTAGACAGGTTTCGTTATCTTGGCTCGGTAATTCAGGCGGATGGGGAGTTAGATGCGGATGTTGGACATCGGGTTGGAGTGGCTTGGGCCAAATGGCGGTTAGCCTCAGGGGTGTTGTGTGATCCGAAGATTTCGCCTAGAATGAAAGGTAAGTTCTATCGATCCGTAGTCAGACCTGCTATGTTATATGGGGCAGAGTGTTGGGCGGTTAAGAAGACTCATGTGCATCGTCTGCATGCGGCGGAGATGCGGATGTTACGATGGATGTGCGGGAAGACAAGGTTGGATAGGATTTTGAATGAGGTTATCCGACGTCAAGTAGGTATGACACCGGTGGAAGACAAGTTGCGGGAAGCGAGGTTGAGGTGGCTTGGCCATGTGAGACGGCGGGATGCTGACGCCCCTGTACGGAGATGCGAGAGGATTACTGTTATCGGGGGAAGTAGGGGAAGGGGTAGACCTAAGAAGAATTGGGAGGAGGTGATAAGACAGGATTTAGGACTTATCGACCTGACTGAGGATATGGCCCTAGATAGGAACCTTTGGAGAACTAGGATTAGAGTAGCTGGATAGGAGCTCGGTGTTGTAGAGGTTGTTTTGTAGTGTGTTCTATTTGTTGGGAATCTTTGGTTATTGTTTGTACTTGTTGCTTATACTTGGTGCCTTATCTGTGATATACTGTGTTCTCTTCCATATTTTTGTGCAGGTGGAGCCGGGGGTCTCTTGGAAACAGCCTCCCTACTTCCGAGTAGGGGCAAGGTCTGCGTACACACACCCTCCCCAGACCCTACTGATGTGGGATTCAACTGGGTTGTTGTTGTTGTTATGCATGCAATATCTTAGTTGCCCATACTATAAATCCTCTCTTTTAATTAGGTGTATTTTTAAGTTTACAATCACATTGTTTGCTGGTCTATGAGGGTTATTAGTTCTTGTTTTTCTTCGTCTTTCTAATACTTAAATTTCATGTCACAGTTTGATGGCTTCATTGACTTGGATGCATATGACACAATAGCAGTTAAACTGAAAGGAGATGGGAGGTGCTACATCTCTACTGTGAGTCTGCCCTCTATCCACTCCCCCAAATTATGCATTCTTCTACGCTTCTGCTAGAATACTTAAACTATAAATTGTGAACCTGAATATTTTTGGAGCACCCAGTAATCCAGTATTAGCATTGAGCTTCTCATCATACTGTAGTAATCTGCATTCTGTCACCATAACTTATAATCTTTTCCTACATATTACTGCAGATTTACACACAAAATTGGGTAAATTCCCCTGGGCAAGAAGAAGATAACTCATGGCAGGCGTTTGTTGTCGTACCTAAAGACAACTGGTACATAGCTAAGGTATGTTCCTTACCATCATTACATGCCTCAATCTCTCATTTTTATTGTGAGGCCAATTTTGTGGTGACTGGTCAGGCGTCAGGGTCACAATTTTCCTGGCTATAATTTTGATGAATAGTTTTTTTGAGCTTCTCCATTCCACAAAATCGATTCTTCAGGTCTAGATCTTAACACTATGTTTGGTCCAAGGAATTTGAAAAGGAAAAGTAAAGAAAATGAGAGGGGAAACAATTTTTCATTTTTGGTTAGAGGAAAAGAAAAGAAAAGTGGAAGGAAAAGAAAATGAGAAGTCAAAATTACTAAGGGTGGAGGGTATACGTACCTTCAATATTTCTTTTACTGTATCATCTCTCTCCTCCACATCAGCGCCCCGCAAATCAGATCCCACTAATTTCATACTTTTCATACTACAAGTGGCGGTCTACATACGCTAATTCGCCAATTTACCACAATCATTTTTTAAACAATAAACCTAAACTAGTAATATAAATTAATTGCAATCCATTTAATTTTTACGGGAGTTTTAAAAAATCCTTCTTTTTAGAGAACAAAACCTAGCTTTTTTGGAGAGTGGTTTTAAAATGGGTGTGAAAAAACATAAACGGAGTAGGTAGTAAATATTGCTAAATTAAATTTGTTTTTATATTTTAACAATAACTTAAAATTTTTAAACATTTTAAATATTAAAGATGTATAAATAAATAGTTTAAAGTGAGATGTGGTATGGACGGTAAGTATATAGACTTGCATGACAAATTTTTTTTGGTACCAAAAGGGATGGGGTGGTAATTTGGTACCAAATTGATTTTACTAAAGCTATACCGTGCACCCTAAGCTAAGAGAGAAAACAAAATTCCTCTCGTTTTGGTGAGGAAAATGAGAGAACCATAGAACCATTTTCTTTTCTTTTCCTTCCAAATTCCCTGAACCAAACATAGCGTAAGGGTCTGTTTGGATTAAGGGTTTTGTTGGGGTTCAGATGGGAGGGCTTAGAAATGTTTTGTCTATATCTTGATAAATAGAAATGCTTTAAAATAATGAATAAAAGGCGGTTGAAAAATCAGATGCATAACTAAGCCTTTCAAAGCCTTCCCCTCCACAAGGACCACAACTCTCAAATCTCCATTCAAGAATTCTACTTTAATATATATATATATATATATATATATATATATATATATATATATATATATATAAAACAGTTTATCTACAGTATATGATATGGGATGATCCATCCATCTTATGTCGATGCAGCATATACATATATACACACATGCATATATAGCACGCATACATACAAACATATATACATGCACAACATGTATGTGCATAATTAGTCATGCTTGATTTGCCCTCCTGCCTAATGGTAATGAATGGTGTACATATATATGGTTGATTACCGTACCCATGGTGATTATTTTAGTTACTGGTCTGCTTTATTATACCATAAACTTCACTATATATATATATATATATATATATATATATATATATATATTGGGGCCGGTTCAAGTGAGAATGCACCTTGGTGAAAGAAATAAGAATAAAATCTAGCCTTTGGATCTGATGCATCGTGCGGCTCATATTGCATCCTGCACTCAATTTTTGAGATAGTGCATTTTTAAAGGATTATGGTGCATTTCGACATGATGCATTTTCAAACCATTTTGGTGCACCTAATTTTGATGCAATCCTGACCCTTAGATCTCACAATCTAAAGCACCAGATTCATTCTCATTTCTTTCATAAGATCGCATTCTCACCTGAACCAATATATATATATATATACATACATACATACATACATACATACATACATACATACATACATACATACATACATACACGGACTATATATCATATCTTTTTTTGAATTTAAAGAAAACAAACAGGATGTTTTGAACCGAAAATGTTGGAGGGAGTAAGCTTAAAATTCCAACAAACAGCTTGTGCCCTTCCATCATTTGCCTGTGCAAAAAAGAGTTGAATCAATACTCAGTTTATAATCTCATCCAAAAGAAAGTATGATACTTCCTGCCAATTTATGTTTGTGTTTTGCCACAGATACCTCTCTCCAGGTACGTGCCGACATGGAGAGGGAACATAATCAATGCAAAGATGGAGATGAATCCGTCTCGTGTTCTCGGTATGTCTCTATCTGTGAATGCCGAAGGCGGAGTCCCGGGCGCAAAGTCTGGGCCCGGAGATTTCCACGTGGAGATTGATTGGATCAAAGCCATGCGAACCGGATGAGCACGCGGGTTTTGGAACTTGGAAAACATTCTTCTTGTGGTTTGTTACTGCTCTATGGTTTGTCTGGTTTCATGCAACTTTGACAAAAGGCAATTGTAGTGTGCTGATAAATAATTAGAAGACCTATGGACGATTCTAATGTCATGATTGGAATTTTGACATAAAAATACTGTAAAATCTAGATAGAAATGGGGCAATTTACCTAAATAAGACTAAAAGATACGGAGTAATAACTTTCTCAATATAGGACTATATGTTTTTATTTCTCAATGTAAGGCAATTGATCATTATCTATGAGTCATTATTCAGTTAAATGTCCAGCATTACTTGGACATTATTCTTCTCACTAGTCATAATTAAGTTCTATTTAGGGAATAAAAAAGTTTAAGTCCTACATTGGGAAATGACTTATGTTTTAGTCTTATTCAGTGTAAACTTCACATAGAAATATGACATCAACGGCAAGAATTATCAGCATTACAAAATTTCAATAAATATTTCAATATGTTAGAATTATTAGGTCTAAAAACTTGTATCACTAGAAAAATAGAAGTGGCTACGAACAAATTGAAGAATAACATGTTTGCAAAAGAAAATCAAATATCAAAGGAATAAATTCGTGTAATTTGTAGGACCATTTTTTTTTATTAATAATAATTTATTCTTACCTTTATAAGTCTAGTTTTATTTCAATTATTCACTCCGTGTTAAAGTGTCAAATTTGAACTTTTCATAAAAATAAATAGTGTAATTCTCATAACACGATTTTAATTGAAATTAACTCTGATTGATTGTAAAAAAAATCAAAACTTGACAAATGCTATGGTACCACAGTTATTTTTTTAATGATATTGATTTGATTACAATTTAGTATCTTAATGTCAAGAGTTTCTTAACAAATTTAAAAAGAAAATAACTATGTCAATTGTATTCGGGAATGCATTACATTTTTTAATCTACTTTTGCTTTTACACTATGAGGGGCAAAGAAAAAGAAAATGAGAAGGAAAACAATTTTCTTGTTTGGTTAGAAAGGAAAAAGAAAAGAAAAGTAGAAGAAAAAGAAAACGAGAAGACAAATTGTACTGAAAAGAAAGAAAATTAAATTCCTCCCATTTTGGTGAGGAAAATGAAGGAAATCTGTTTTCTTTTCTTTTTTTCGGAATTCCTTGAACCAAACATAGTGTTACTGTTATAAAAATACTTTCTCCGTCGTATATTAATCCATTTTGCTTATATCGAGTTCTAGGATTCTTTAATTAAATGTAGTTCCTATCATTAAATTTTTCCTTTTGGATACTTGGAAACATCTCAATACCCAAATAGTTTGTGAGTAAGATTAAAAAATAGATGCAAAATTCACAAGAATCTCCTCAGAAATGATAGATTTTATATAAATACTCTCAAATTCATTTATTTATATCGTTACTCCCACATTTTTCTGTTATTTACGTCGTTACTCCTTAATTACCTAATCATTATCAATTTTACTTAAATGTGTCTTTCACCGTTGAGTGACAAATTAAAATGCCGAGTGGTATTTTTTCACTCTTAAGTCTAAACTACCAAATCCACCTATGCGTATTCTCTCCCATAGTCTTACGCAGATGTTCTTCTGCGTAAGTCCAATCGTTGCTTTTATCTCTCATAATTTTTTTTTTAATTTTTTCATATTTAGAACTTCCTAAACCTTCTTCCTGCCTGATAATATAATATCAAGCTTATTCATATTAATTTGAATTCCGCCAAAAAGATGAAGAACCTCGTTTCATTTATGAATTCGGCCAAAAAGACTGATCTTTTATAATATATTAATGAAACCATCTCGGTAAAAAAATCAAGCATATAAATAAAAATTAAATTATGAATTAAAAACAAATAGATTGAAGGGGCCTTAGAAATGAACCCAGATCTCGAAGAAAAAGAAAAGAGAAACTTGAATAGATTCAAAATTGAAAATTGTCTCTTCGATTTACTATAGATTTGCCTACAAAATTCAAACCTACAATGGCGGGAACAAGAGACATGAAGATAAGATGGACCAATTCTGAATATAAAAAAATAAAAAAAAGTAATGGGGCAAGAATAAGCTGAGTCAAAATTGATATTTTAGGCTCCGTTTGGAACACGAGAAAATGACTTCTGGAAATCATTTTCCTCATTTTCTGGTGTTTGGTGAAATTGGAAAATGGAGGTCAATGGAAAACAATCGTGAGTCAAACGGGAAATCTCAACATGTTATTTTGCCCCTTAGCGCTATAAAAACACCCAATAACACCGATGATGACTAGGCAATGGCAGAGTAACGACGTAAAAGATGCCATAAGAAACTCAATTTTTTAGAATTTACTCAAAATGAAGCAATATTAATCATCTTTGCAAGTTGCAACCATTTCTCCTTTGAATATTAATTATCACTTTTTTTTCCCTTCTCATGATAAAACACACTCTCAAGACCTTAACTGGCAATGAAATGGCACTCCTACCAACCGCTTGGTAAATGACCTGAGAAGACCTTCTCCAACCAACAACTAATAATACATAATATAAACTCTCTGCCAAAATGCAATAATAAATCTCAACTCTTTTTCTCCTACCACTATGAGATGACACTGATATGATATGTAATGCCTTTAAAATAAAATTAAAATAAAATAAAAAATCACATTGTTTTTATCATATCCCTGTCGTACAACAACAAATCCAGTAAAATCCCACAAAAGCACAGTAAATAAAAGTAAACACAACAACGCGAACAATGTAAATATGGTCCGATAAAACATATAGTTACTTACCGCGTCTCATAATCGTCCAAAAATCCAAACACACGTACTTTCGTACATAGGTTTCATGATTTTATGTAATAAAAAAACGCGTTCAAAGCGAAACGAAAAGAAGCAAACGAGCATGGCGGAACAGTACATACAGTGTGGCGGAAACGGGATGTCGGTTCTTGGTTTCTTATGTACAATGACCTTTTCGCCCTCCTCTTCCTTCTCCGGAACTGCACTTGTAGGGACCATGATGACATTCATATCCAGCCAAGTTTGTTTTTTTTCATTCAGACGTACCAAGTGGTCGCGTCCTGCTTTGGCAGCTGGTCCGCGGAGTAGTCAACTCCACCCAAAATGAATGGGGAGTCGAACCCAAACTCAATCGGCTTCGGGTCGAACGGAGACGGGTACTGGGCATCCGCGGGCGGGAAACCGGTCGACCCTTTGAAGAAGTCGTCCAGTTGGAGGTGCTGCTGAGCTGTCGCGGGCTGCAGCAGGTTGTTGCGGTCCCCTGCTTCGACCGGACCGAAGTTGTTCCCATTTTGTTGGAACGTGTGGTCGTAGAACGACATGAGTTCTGAAATCATTTTCTGGCCATCTTCCGGAAGCCCGAAGCTAGACGAAACATTTGGGTTGGTCAGGTTGCCAAAAGGGCAATGGGAATACTGATGGGTATATGTTCTCTTAAGATTCGTGTGCTCCTCGCCAAGTGGGTCCCGTTTCCTCTTCTTCTCGAGGAAATCCGAGTCCACGTCGAGAATCTCTCCCTTCACCGGAGCTAATAATAAGGGTCCCACATCATAGTCGCCTGCATCCGGATTGCTACCCACCCTAGGGAAAGACCTGTTTGGGTAGGTATCCGGATGCAGCGTCCTAGCGAGGGACTCCTCTTGGTTGATTATAGCAATCCAAGTAGAGCTCTCCTTTGCTGTCATCTTGTCCTGCAGGCATTTTGACTGCCGGACCAGCTTGCGGATCTTGGGGATGTCCGGCGACAAGTGTTTGATCACCGCGGTGAGGACGCCCACTTTCCACGCCTTCTTCAGGTCGTGGGGCTTCTTGTAGGGCGGGGGCCCGTGGTCCTTTGGCATACCCAGCTGGGCCCACCACTCCTCGTCCCCCGTGGGCCACCACGGCGGGGCCACCCCCTTTTCCAAGGGGAACCTCCTCTGGGGAGGGTCGCAGTGCTGCATTAGAGCGGAGAGGAGGGAGCCGAGCGTGGTGTCCTGGAGCTCTTGCAAGGTGTGAGGGGTCGATACCGCAACGGTTGACCGGTCAACGCTCCCGGGGACGTTGTTCTCGGCTTGGAACTTCGCCGCGGCGGCGGGCCCGTTCCGGTCGAACCTCACCTTTTCCTTCCACCAAGCGCGGAGGTTGTCGGAGGCACCGCTCACCGGCTTCCCGTTTTCCGGAATAATCCCGTAAACGAAACCCTGGGCGTTGCAAACCTCCATCATCTTCAACATGTACTTCAAGATCCCGTCCTGGGCACGGGACATCTTCTTCCTGCGCGCTTGTTCCTGGGAATGGAGTTGCTTCAAACCACCACCACCACCACCCTCCTTGATACTCTTGTTCTTCTCCTTCAGCCGCCTCAGGCGCATCCTGTCCCTCCACATCCTCCTCTCAAGCTCATCCACATCCATGTCTTCATCGCTCTCTTCCTCATCTTCAACTGCTGCTACAGAAGCTTTGGTTTCCACTTGCGGGAGGGCAATTTCGGTACAACCAGGGGTATCCGAGAGGAAATCGAGATTTTCGCAAAAACCCATCTCCTCAAACATACCCATCATTCAGGCACCCAAATAAAATGGACTCCAAGCGATTAAATGAAGACTAACTCTGTGATCTTTCTGCAGAGAGAATAGAATAAAGTGATAGAATTAGAAGAATGATTATGCAGATGTCCAAAAGGTAGGATTTTAAACTAAGATAATTAAGAACATATATATTCACAGAATATTATGATATGGTAACGTCTTTAACATAATATTCGCAGAATATTACGATATGGTAACTTCCTTAACACAAACAAAGCAAAAAAAGAAAACTATTAAAGAGATAATAATGAACATATAAAACCACACCTTTGAACTAAATCCTCTCTAGTTGCAGAAAACAATCCTTTTAAGAACTATTTTCTCTCATTAAAATCAACCACTTATAGCCATGACTAAACTAAAACTCATGTGCACAAGACAAAAAGTAAAAGTGTTTGATGCACAGAAAGTTACATGCAGATTGAACTTATCATCTATGCACAAAAACATATATAACCATTTCATAGATAATAATCTACTCCATCCGTCCGGATTTAATCGTTTGATTTCCAAAACACAGCAAATTTCACTGTGAGCTGTTCTCTAAATATGGTAAACAGACAATTATTTCCAAATGAGGGGTATAATGAGACTGCCCCAACCAAGAGTGTATACCAAATTGGGCTCAATATACCAAACCCATTTTGAAAAGGCTATTAGAGCCTGTTTGGCAATAGCTTCAGCATTTTGAAAAGGTTATCTCACGTTAGTGTTTTCAAACTGAATCTACACCTTTAAAAAAATTATCCAAAACGCTAAGCTAATTGAAAACGTTGTTCCCAAACCCGACCTTAATATATTCAAGCTCAAACCACCGAAGCTCGCACAATTGGATCGGGTTTGGATCCCACGCAAACCCGGAAGTGAGGATCCAATGGGATGACGATATGTAGGCACAACTAAGGTTAGCGAAATTGGATACTTGATATCCGTGATCCACTCTTCCATCCTACGAATGTAGATCACAATTTCCCTTGATTGATTCACTACTATAGGCCTATAAATACATCCCTCTTCTCTTGAGAAGGTATCGAATTCTTAAACCACGAAATCGTTCGTATAACTTCAATTCCTCATATTAACAATTATCACATCATAATTTTGGTAGATTAAAATCTATCACCAGAAAACCCAAAATGGAAGAGTGGACAACTAAATCCAAACGAAGATGGTAATGATCAATACAAAACAACATCATGATCCTTTAGGAAAAAGATTAAATTTTTCTCCAAACGTAACGCTCCTACTTCACCATCCTTTCCATTTATTCAGATACGCCCTGATTTAGGTAAGCTATTCGATTTCTTTTCATTCCTGATTCGATCTCTAACATTACTCACTGATTCAATAATTCCAGAAAGTTCCATCTTCAGAAGTAGAAATTTAGAACAGAATTCTTGAAAAAAAAACAAGAAAAGAAAAGAAATCATAGAGAAATGGACTCACGGGTATAGTATAGTAGATCTTCTCGTGAACTGCTGGGAAAGATTTATCTCCAAGATTTGATTTTTCTTTTCAGATAGGTCTGATGAAATGTGGGTTTTCTTTTTTTTTTCCCTCTTTTGGGCACAAAGATGATGGTGGATAAGAACAGCTGGGGTGGGATGGCGTTATTGTTGTTGCGTAGTGGCGCTTCACGTTTGGGTGTCGGGAAGTCAAATATAAAGAAGATAAAAGGAGCTAAGAAAGGAAAGGCGAGAGGAAGGGGAAAGGAGTCTTTATAGAATTAAGGTCACAAGTTTTGAATTGAATATCATAATTAAAAGGTCATTTTCTTCCTAAAGACGCATAAGAACATGCAAAAACCAAATCACACAGTCTTTATAGAATTAAGGTCACAAGTTTTGAATTGAATATCATAATTAAAAGGTCATTTTCTTCCTAAAGACGCATAAGAACATGCAAAAACCAAATCACACTAATATTCACGTTGTCACAATTTAAATTGACTGTGTCGATTTATGATATTTGACTGAAATTATTTTTGAAACAATTTATTTGAAAAGTGAAACGAAACCAAAAAAATAAAAAAATTAAACATACTCCCTCCGTTTTAAAACTAACTTCTCATTTGATTTTTCACGGTCTCCCACGCAATACTTTGACCATCAATATCTTCATTTTTATATAAATATATATTATAAAAATAATATATTTTAAAACTATGTTTCAAAATGAATCTATTGATATTAAATTTATATGAAAATTCAATGTATTTTTTCGGTAGTATACGTTCAAAGTTTAGAAAATCTGACTGCAAAAGTCAAATTGAGAAGTTAATTTTAGTACGGATGAAGTATTAAAAAATTACATCAAAATTTCTACAAAATAAGAAGTGACACGACTATATTATTTTTTAAATGAGTAATGGAAATAGATAAATAAAGTAAATAAAGTTTGACATTATAATTAAAAAACAAGTAACTCAATTTGGGATTGAGAAAGTAACAAGGAACCAGGCATAGCCGGTCGACATGTGTGAATTATAGATAGAAACTATGAAGGTCATGTTCTTTTGATTTGGAATTTCAGAGTTAAATGTTAGAAGAAACTGAAGAAAGTTGGAAAACATTGAAAGGACATACTAAACGAAGACAAGATTAGTGCCACAAGTCAATGCACTAAGGGTATAAAAAAGTAAAATTATCACAGATAACGAATGTAAAATATCATAAAAAGTAAGACAAAAGAAATATAGGAGGACAAAATTGCAACAATATGACTCATATAATAACCCTTATTATTCAAATTTACAAGTCTTGGAGTTAACTATTTCAAAATAAAATGTTAATCAACTAAACAAATTATTTTATTTTTTTGGAGTAAAACTCCAAAATTCCAAATTCAGAGGAATGTGTGAAAATGACATGAAATAAGTCTTGAAATATGCAATTGTGGCTTCAAAGTTTAAAACCTCACACCAAATATTTTACTAAGGTAATGTCTTATATGCATAACACAACATGCAATATACTCATCCTATTATCTAACTTGCCACTAAGACTGTCTATACCTGAAAAAAAATTATATTATTGATAAAAGTAAAGAAAGAGTGTGAGTCATAAAAAATTACAAATACATTTTGAGATAAAATAGAATGACATAAAAGAAAAGAAAACGAGATAATAAATATAAAAATTTTTCAACTCTTTCCCGTTTATTTTAATTCTTTTCAATTTTTTCCAACTTCTTTTAGCTTTTTTGAATTCTTTTGAGTTTCTTTCAACATCCAATTTTATTTTTCCAATCGAAAAGAACAGAACTGTAGTATTAGTGGATCAAGCCACTATGTGAAAATACTATGGATAACTTGCCAGATCGTCTCAAAAACAACTTAACGGGCTGGACCAATTAGTACTACAGAGTTGGGTACACGACTACATTTATGGAGCGTCGGGTAAATGGGCCACATACCCGGCCCATTCCATCTGACCAGAATATCTGTTCCCTCTTTCCAACTGCACCAAACAGGGGAGAAGTCCAGAATTCTTCTTTCTCTTCTTCTTCTTCTTCTTCTTCTTCTTCCTTTCTTTCATTATATATAAAAATACACAGTCGGTTTGCATATCGGATTGAGATCAATTTGAATCTCCATTTCCGCCTGAAGAAATCAGATATCGAAAGTTAAGAAAAAAGACATAGGAGGAAAGGGAGGGAATCGCCATGAAATTGCACAAGCAGGGGAGCGTGAATCACAGAAGAGATGAGGAAACCGCGCAGAGCACGCCTCCGTACTCCCCCAAAACCCTGAAACACCCTAGATCTCTGTCCAGATCCATCAACTATCTCCTCAGAGAACAGAGGCTCCTGTTCATCCTTGTGGGCATTCTTATTGGCTCCACTTTCTTCGTCATCCAGCCCAGCCTTTCGCATCTCAGCTCCTATCCTCAGGTCCCGAGATCGCGGCCTTTTCGTGTCTCCGACAAGGAAGCCGTTTCTTCTTACACCCATTCCAGGGGTGGCCGGAACGGCGCCGGGATCGGGCGGGTGCCGGTGGGGATTGGGAGGAGGAGGATGCGCATTGTGGTCACCGGAGGGGCAGGGTTCGTCGGGAGCCATTTGGTCGATAAGCTGATGAAGAGAGGCGATGATGTCATCGTCATTGACAATTTCTTCACGGGGAGGAAGGAGAACGTGATGCACCATTTTGGGAATCCCAGATTCGAGCTCATTCGCCATGATGTTGTCGAACCCATTTTGCTCGAGGTCGATCAGATCTACCACTTGGCTTGCCCTGCTTCCCCCGTTCATTACAAGTATAACCCTGTTAAAACAATCATATCCTTTTCTTTGACACTCTTATGAGTGTTGTTTGTCTGTTTAATTCAAGAAGATATGTGTGGATGAACTGGATGCTCTTTTGATTGAATGCTGGGTTTTGATTTTCTGTCATTTATACATGGATGCTAAGATTTCCCTTCTGTGTTTTGAATTCTTCTTTGAAAACCTTAACTGTAATCTTTACAAGACAAATGTTATGGGTACCCTTAACATGCTGGGACTAGCCAAGAGGATTGGTGCAAGGTTCTTGCTTACTAGTACTAGTGAAGTGTACGGAGATCCACTCGAGCATCCCCAAAAGGAGACTTATTGGGGAAATGTTAATCCTATAGGTAATACCTTCAGCTCAGAGTATCATTGTTGAATCATGTTAAGTCTCATCCAGATTATTTGGTTAAGTGTTTTAATTAATTGAGATTGAATGGCGTGCAAAGTTTAGGTGAGCGCAGTTGCTATGACGAGGGAAAACGCACTGCTGAGACTTTGACTATGGATTATCACCGTGGTGCAGGAGTGGAGGTAAATAAATATCTTACTATGGCAGCTTGTAGCTTACTAGCTTCTATAAGAACCCGATACACACATGTTTGAACTGCTGGTCCTCTAGTGTCAAAAGTGTCACTGCTTTTCTCGTGTCTACAAAGCCATTTCGTTTGAAAATTATTGTATTGTTTTCTTTGGTGACCTCTCTGTATCAAAAGTAGCCAGGGGCATTATGTTGCTAGCTGATGATGCCTTAACTATTTAGATACTACCTCTTTCTTGATGACCAAGTTGTAACTTTGCAAGGCATAGTTCTATAGGACAATGTACGGCGGTTTTCCCCTATGTGCCCTTGCATTTTCTCTATACTAAGTATTATCATTTTTAATCACCATTATCATTCTTATTAAATTATTAAATCAATCAACCCTTCAACAAAGATAGAGCTTCGTTTCAAATGAACGGAGCTGTTGCATGACTGTGAGAGGTCATGTACAACTATTTTCATATTCCACTCTCCTGACCCGTGTCATCTGTGACTAAATCAATCAACTTTTCATTTGAGTATACTTATTCTTTATGTATTTAATACTTTTTAAAAGTATGTATTGAATATTGATATATAAATCAACCAACCCCATTGTTGATGCTCTTAAAAGTTACTCCGTGTATGCTTTCTTACGTTACGGAATACAAGTGCAGTGACAAGAATGCCACTCTACTACAAGTGCAGTGACAAGAATGCCACTCTACTATTTGTTTTTTAGAGAATGCCATTGCCTTTTTTCTTTTCAATAATGCCATTTTTGACAAAAAACGAATAGTTGAGTGGCATTCTTGTCACTGCACTCAACAAAGGACTCTCAATTCCATTTTACCAAGGCATTCTTGTCACTGCACTCACATATTTTTGTGCTCAATAATATTCTTTATGTAGTTTATGAATATGTACACTCTATTTCTTACTCCAAACGAGACATATTAGAAAATTTAACTTGGAATAACATGTATCAAGCCTCATTCCAAGAGTTCTGAAATAACAGCAATGGCATTGTATGAAAACAAAAGTTTATCACATAATTTCTCTTTTTTTTATGCAATCTTATACTATGTTCTCTATGAATTTTTCCTTTCTCATGTACACTGTGACTTGGGTAGCTAGATTGATCTGGTTACATTCACAATCTAAGTGGCATCCTGATAAGTTTAATTACAACATTATCATTTTTCAGGTGCGCATTGCTCGTATTTTCAACACATATGGACCTCGCATGTCCCTAGATGATGGGCGTGTTGTCAGTAACTTTGTAGCACAGGTTGGTTTATACAGATTTTCTTGTGTGTTGAAAAGTAATTAATCTATGGATAATTACAATTCATTAAAGTTGTTCAATACTTCATTTTGAAATTTGAATTTCTTTTAATAAGCATCCATCAGATGTATTTAACTTCTGTTCTATTGTTGTGTAGGTTATTCGCAAGCAACCCATGACAGTTTATGGTGATGGGCAGCAAACAAGAAGCTTTCAATATGTTTCTGACTTGGTACACATTCTTTATATATCTTCAACACGTCCAACTCATCATGCTCCGATTCCAATACCTTGTTTTTTGTGCAGATTCCACCACTTTACTCATCAGAATCTAATTCCCAATCTCTGAATCTTTATCATATTTGTGATGTTTAATGCAAGATTCTTAAATATCTTGAAGTTTGATGCTGATGTATATTTTAAAATGTTTTGCTGAAGGTTGATGGATTGTCAGCACTAATGGAAGGTGAGCATGTTGGGCCTTTCAACTTGGGAAATCCAGGGGAGTTCACAATGCTGGAGCTCGCCGAGGTCTGTTTAAGATGTCTAATTATCTATATTCCTTCCATCCTAATAAGCTGTTTAGTTGGATAATAAGCTGGTTTGTTTTGGGAACACAGGTTGTGAAGAAGGTGATAGATCCCAGTGCAACCATTGAGTTTAAACCCAACACTGCTGACGACCCGCACAAGAGGAAGCCAGACATCAGTAGGGCAAAGGAGCTTCTGAACTGGGAGCCGAAAATCGCCCTCCATGATGGGCTGCCCCTCATGGTCAACGACTTTCGCAATCGCATCTTGAACGAAGACGAAGGAAAAGGGAACTAAAAACNACAATGCTGGAGCTCGCCGAGGTCTGTTTAAGATGTCTAATTATCTATATTCCTTCCATCCTAATAAGCTGTTTAGTTGGATAATAAGCTGGTTTGTTTTGGGAACACAGGTTGTGAAGAAGGTGATAGATCCCAGTGCAACCATTGAGTTTAAACCCAACACTGCTGACGACCCGCACAAGAGGAAGCCAGACATCAGTAGGGCAAAGGAGCTTCTGAACTGGGAGCCGAAAATCGCCCTCCATGATGGGCTGCCCCTCATGGTCAACGACTTTCGCAATCGCATCTTGAACGAAGACGAAGGAAAAGGGAACTAAAAACTACAAGTAAGTTTGAAGAGTCTCATTTATGAACTGCATGTACTGTATAGAAAAAAAAAGCACGCCGAGATTTCTCATCTTCATTTCTGTCTTGCAGCTGTAGTAGTCCATATATTTCCCCCCCCCCTCCCCCCGCCCGCCATTGCAACACCAATAGTTTTTCTGCAGGAATAGAAATAAGTTTCTCTTGTTTTTTTAAAAATAATTCAGACTTTTCTATGCTTCAATCTGAATGGGGCAATGCAGAGCTGTGTAGTAACTAGTAAGCACATTGTGGTGTTTAGGGCATTTCTGGTAAAAAAGAGCTGTTTGATTTTTTTGTTTATGAGCAATGCAGTCATTTTTTTGAGTCTGTTGGGGGAAAAGAGCATTTTAGACGGATGTGAACTGAACTGCTGTTTTGAATTAGCAGTAAAATGGCATTATGCTTGTGAAAACATTTTGAATTTTTACGTTCACTATCTATAAGAGTCAGATTTTATCTATTTTCTTTGTCTACTTTCGACTTTCGTTTCTCATTTGGTAAAATAATAGTCGTGTCATCTTTTGTTTCGTAAATTTTTTTACAACATTGTTTCAGTGCCTCATATCTTTCTTTTCTTCTTTTAAATTAAAAAACTCTTCACGCTTTTTCTAGAAAAAAGACTACTCCCTCCGTCCCACTGTCTTTGTCCACTTACCTTTTGGCACACCATTCAATGCATTTCTTTAATTCATTTTATCTTGTAATTTGTATATTAAAAAATTATAGAAATTATATATTAATAATCTATATGTTAAGACGAATCAAACAAGATCACACATGACTATTTTTAGGCTTACACATTGAGAGAATTTGATGAGTCAAAGTGCTTAGATGAATAGTTCCAAAAGTCAAATGTGGACAAAGACAGTGGGAGGGAGGTAGTATTTTATTCATATTTTAACACTATGTAATTGTTTGTATTTCATTCTTTGTCACCAATCTACGGCTAAAGTCTAATTTATCCCCTCTCAGTAATCGTTGGATCGGGTCTAAAAGAATCCTTGAGAATGGGGTTCATGTTTTTACTTCTTTCCTTCAATACTTAGTATGGAGTATTAGTATTACACAATAAAGGTAATAAACAAAAAGTTCTCTTTTTTTGCTTCTTACATTAAAAAGCATGTCAATCAAAACTAGAACTAAGTAGAGTTAAATGCACAAATAGTCCTTGTGGTTTTTTATAAGTAGGTTAATAGTCTATGTATTTTTAAAGGGCAATGCTAGGGGTACACCAACATGGGGTACCCCTAGTTTAATTTATTTTTAAAAGATGTAAAATAGTCTATGTGCTCTAAGAATTGATGCATAATTATTTCCTTTTAAAGGAAAACGCAAAGCACACGGAATATATGCGTATTGTGTGGAAGTGTGAAGCATGTAACAAAAAAGAAAGAAATTTATCTCATGAAATTGCCTCCTCATCGTAGTTAAAGACAATCAATGGTCTTTTTTAGTTTTTCTCACACGATTTTACTTTGAAATAAAACTACTTAAAAAGCAAAATAATGTCGAGCTCTCAGGAAACATAGTACTATAATTCAAGAATATTACTATAGAAGAAACGGTGAATTAATTGTAAGAGTTAAACTAAAAGATGAAAGATATTATACTATTGTTCAAAATTACACATTACAACTAAAATTTCAGAGTAACTTTTTTTATTGTTACATGATTGATGTCTTTGCATAATACGTGAGTGTTGTGTTGTGTACATTTTACGAATTTTTTGATACAAGGACTAATTATGCTATGGTTGGGAACAATTTATCCACTTATGAAACACCACATAGATTATATATGCATTTAATTCACAAAGATCTGAGCCTCCCTTTCAATTTAAGTTAGCCCGTTTTAATATATGTTGTTTGACCAATTTTTTTAGATATAATTTGTTTGAAAAATTATTGAAAAAAGTAAAAAAAAAAAATAGCATATTTTTTAAACTTACATCAAAAGATTTAGAGAGTACAAATCAATATATGACATGACTATATCCACATTATTCTTTTGCACGAGTGCGGAAAGTAGTCAAAGAAAATACTCCATCTGTCTTAAAATGTTTGTCACATTACGTAAAAAATATGAAATAAATAAATAATATTTATTTTGTCTTATTAAAGTTCGGCAAAGATATAAATAATAAAATTTCTATATCTAAAAATTATATAAAAAGGTGACAAAAATATTCTATTTAATCAAATAATCAATGAAAATATATAAATAAACAAAAGCTTTTGTGATTTTCAAAATGTAAACTGTGACATTCTTTTTTAGGTGGAGAATCTATGACATTCTTTTTTAGGTGGAGAATGTAGTTAAAATTTGAATATGTAAATATTGAACAAACAATATACGGAGTAAAAATTAATAGGAATGAAAAACTTTTTTCTGTGGGTTATTTTGTTCAAGCATGTCAGGGTACATGAAGATAAATGTATTTTTGTTTGTTTCGTCTTTTGTTCTGTTTTGGCAGAACGTCTCCTGCAACGGCTATTATTATTGGGCAATGCTAGGGTACACCAACATAGGGTACTCCAAGTGTACACCAAGCCAATATAGACACACATAGACATCAAATGTCTGTGCAACACAGACACTTTGTGTCTGTGTGTGTCTGTGTTGGTTTGGTGTACACTTGGGGTACCCCATGTTGGTGTACCCCTAGCTTAATTCATTATTATTTCCTCCATTCCTGAATGTTTGACACGTTTCCTTTTTCATTAATTACAAAAACTTTTATTTATTGGTATGTTTTTATTGATTATTTGATAAAATAAAATATTTTTGAAATATCTTATTTCAAAGAATTTTTTCATGTAATTTTTAAATATCTAAATTTATTTTTTATTTATATACCAATATTTAAATAAAATAAATTTAGAAACTTGATATTTTGCGTTGTTTTCCAAAATGTGATAAACATTTGGGAATGGAGAGAGTATTACGGAGTATTCCGTATTATTTATTAAAGCCATTCGACGGATTTATTATCAACATTTTTTTGGGGACCTCTGGAATTAATGGTCTAGTTTCTATGTCTGGAAGATAAAATTCATTAAAGTGTCGCAAATTTGTCATCCCATTTTAATTCCTCAGAAATTAAAGTGTTAAAATTCAAGAATTGACTGATAAAAAAATTATTCAGTTCTAATGGAAGTATGGTAGAACTAAATTTTTTTCCAACAAGAAAAGTGAAAATTATTTCGACGAATATAAAAAAAAAAAGTGAGAATTTTCTATGGGTCACATCGAGTGTATCATTGAGTCTATCTTACTCGTTTTTTTTGAGAAATTTACCTAAATAGAACTAAAACATAATGACTTTCTCAATATAGGACCGTATGTTTTTATTTCTCAATGTAGAACTTTTGGTCATTATAGAGTAGTCATTATTCAACTAAATGTCCATCATTATTGGTCATTATTCCTCCCACCAGGTCATTATTAAGTCCTACGGAGTATTTAGGAAATAAAAAAGTTTAAGTCCTACGTTAGGAAAGTCATTATGTTTTAGTCTTATTTAGTGCAAATTTCACTTTCTTTTTTCATCCAACTAGCATCTTTCTTTGTCATTTTACTTTATGCTATATTTGGTTTGTGGAATTTGGAAAAGAAAAAAGAAAATGAGAAATCAATACAATGTTTGGCTCAAGAATTCTGAAACGGAAAAGAAATATTCTCTTGGTCTCAATGTATTCGTTCACTTTGACTTTTTTGAATCAAGTTGAACAAAATTAATCATCAATCACTCTGAATTTTTATTGCATATCAATACAATAAAGTAAAATTTTAATACTCCGTAATGTTCAAGAAGATAAAAGTCAAACTGGAAATAAAACTTCTTGTTTTTGTAGACAAGAAAAGAAAAGAATGTGGAAGAAAAAATTTGAGATTAGGAAAATAAATGGGTAAAACATTTTTTCTTCCATCTTGGTGAGAAAAAAAAAATTGATATGAGGAAAATAAATGGGCAAAACATTGTTTAAGTCCTTGTTTAAGAAGAGCGTTTTCAACTAGCGTTAGCGTTTGGGATAAAATATTCCAAAAATGATAATGCTAAAAGCTACCGTTAGATAACATTTTCGAAACGCTAATGCTAATCTCTAATGCTGATGCCAGGGCCTAAATATTTGAGTTTACATTTTGCATTGTTGATGCCTTAGGGAAAAAATGATGTAAAACTAAAAGAGAATAAGGAATCAAGAAAAAAAGAAATCATTTGAAAATGTTAAAAAAACGATGAAGAAATTTGATGGGCATCTGATTCTTGAGGCTAACTAATGGTTGAGAAATAGACTTCACTTTGTGCTATATTCCTTGCAAAAGAAAGGGCTTTTCCACAATTTAATGGAATTTGGTCTTTATTCCTTTCTCACAAGTCAATTTGAGTTGGATTTATAATAAAGTTAAAAAGACAAAAGAGTTAATAAAAATTACTATGACATTAACAAAAGCATATATCCTAAGAACTGACACAAACAAATTGAAAAGAGTTAAAGAACAAACTATATGATCTTTGACAAAACATCAATCCTGAAAAAATGACACAAACAATCAATATAACATTAAACAATTTTTTTAAACTTTGTACTATTTAATTGTATTTTATATTTTTAGTTTAAATATTTTAATTAAATGAAGTGTTAAAAAATTATATTAAAAAATAAAAGGGAAAGGCGAAGAGAAAGAGAAAGGGAACCACACTCTTGAAAGGGGAAAAGAAAAAAATAAATGAAAAAAAGTGACGTGAACCTAAATTAGCAGAATGAAAGAGGGGAAAAGGGAAACCATATCAATAAGCCTTAGCACGAACATTTACATAATTTTATTGCTTTTTAAGTTCGGAAAAGAACAAACTTAAATTTGTGATAAAGGGATTGGAGTATATGCTCCATGCAATCCGTTTCAAATTAAACTTCCTACTTTGATTTTTATGAAATTTAAGAAAAAATAAAAATTAATGATCGAGACTTATGCAAAGAAGAAAAAAATAAGGGAGCAGTTCTCATGACATTGGAACCCCATTTCATATGATAACCCAAGACCGCTACGGTGTCCAATTCGTAAAATTGACGGTCTCTATCCACCCACCTTTTCCCGAGTTGAACACACCTTGCCACCCCCTTCAATTTCATCCCAGAGAGTCTCTCTTCAGATCTGACCAGACTGTCACTGAGATGATGTAAATTGAACTTTGATAGCAGATTGGTGTCAAAGGGTGAAATGTATGAAAGATTGGTGACAATGATAGAATTTGGGATGGGTATGGACAACAAGACACTTAGGTTGAACCACATTAAAAGATTGAATCCAATCGATTAGTTAGTTCAACTCAAGGGCTTATATACCGGTTTATTTTCTCTTCAAGTTCCGATGTGGGATACTCTTTAACACTCCCCCTCAAGTGGACAACCGGGCCATTTTGAATCTAACCGATTGACCACTTGCAAATGAACTCCCATTCCCTTGACTTTTTTTTTGAGCGCCAACACCTAAAGGACCACGAGCCGCTGGGTATGGACTTCCAGACGAGCAATCGTGTTAAACGGGCCACAGGCCGTTGGGTACATATTCCATACGGACAACTGGGCTAAAGACAAACGGGCCGCTAGGAATGAACGTCTAGACGGACACCTTGACAAACGAGGTGGGCCAAAACCTGCTCCGATACCATGATAGAATTTTGGATTGGGTATGGATAACTGGATTCGGAAATAAGACACTTGGGCTGAACCACATTAAAAGATTGAATCCAATCTATTAGCTAGTTCAACTCTAGAGCTTATATACCGATTATTTTACTCTTGGATTTCCGATGTGGGATACTCTTTAACAGACAAAAATCTAAGGTGTAACAAAGATCACCTTGGTTCCCATGACATTGCATCTCAATATTATGTGATGACCTGAAGTTCATACAATGTTCCATTTGAAAAATTGATAGTTCCTACCCTCCAACCACCCCGATAAATCCCCACCCAGCCTGGCCCGAATATACCTTGCACCCCGTCACTTGCATGCCACAAGATTTAGTTGACTTTGGAGTCAAAGTTTGACTCCAAAGTTAACTAAAGTTTGTGGCATGCAATTGACGGGGGTGCGGCGGAACGATGTAGGAACTTTAAAATTTTCAAAAGGAGCATACTAGAAAATATGGAGTGGAGGAGTATATTGAAAGTGAAGTGAAATATGGAACAAAAGCATTGGGCGTCAGCAAGCATGTTCGTTCATTTAGCTCAGAAATTGAGAGATAGAAAAACAGAGGATCATATCCTCAAACAAACTTCTTCTCCCACTTTTTAATCTTTATCTCCATTTTCACACCTCCAAAAATCTTGAATAATAAGATTCCATACATTTTATTCTTTTTATTACTTGTAATAATTAATTGCATGAGAGGAATGGATTTGCTCTGCTCCTCCCAATCCGCCACCGCCATCTGCTCCTCAATGGCAGAAATTACCCACGCCGCCTCCTCCTCCTCCGCCCCCGTCGTTCATCTCGGCCGTGGAGACGGCGGCCGGGCCATCGACCGGTTCAACCCCATCATCACCGATTCCCGCCGCCGAACTCAACCGGCCCGGAACCCGGCCGGCCCGGCCCAGCAGAGTGATACCAAACCGACGAAAAAGAATGATAATAAGGAAAATAAGAAGAAGAAGAAGAAGAAGAGCGATTCTACGAAGCCGCCGGCGACTCGCGGCGGCGGCGGCGGCGGGGGGTGGAGGTGTACGAAGCCGGGGGATTTCGTGACGCCGCAGAGCTCGTCCAGTTCCAGCAGGTACCTGTTGAACGATGAAAAGGATGGTTTCTTGGATGCGGTTCCGGGTTTCGACCCGATTATGAATCTGGAGGATCCGAATTGTAATGGTATGGTCCACCAAGCTGCAGAGGAGGTTTCGTCTTCGTCTTCTTCTCATCCCCAGTCTGGTCCCACCGATAATAAGGTACTCCCTCCTTTTTCTTTTTTCCACTCCCTCACTCAAGTACTTACATTAATGTTTGTATTTATATATATAAAATTCAAATTAAATCCTTTTTGTTTCTTAAATCACTTCTTCCCTTCCCAAAACAAATTTTCTTAAATATTAATTTATGAAATATCAAAATATGGGTCTAAAATCTATAAAGATCAAAACCTTCTAAAGCAAGTGGTGACATTAATTTTTTATTTTATCATATGACTAACAAATGTAGGTAAATAAAGTATATAAAGTTTAATGTTATAAATACTTCCTCTGTTCCAAATAAAATTGTCTGTTTATTATTTATATGGTCAAATTTTAGTCACTTTGTTTCCATATTTTCCCTAGTCATTTGAGAAAAAAATATAGTGATGTCATCACTAGTTTTATAGATCTTTTAATGTAATTTTCAAATAATAAATATGTATTTTTTATTTTTTAATTCTACACCGTTTATCATATATAATGATTTAAAAATAGCTTCAGTCAAACATCGTTAACCGAAACCAACAACTTAAATTTGGGACGAAGGGAGTAGTAAAAAGACAGTTTAATTTGGTATAGAGTGAGTATTTTTATTGATATCCTAATTTATAAATAATATAATTTTAAAAATGATGAGATTTTGGATGTTGTTCGAAATGGGAAGAAAAAAAATTGGATGAAGATAATATATTGATATTTTTAATATATTTTTGTTGAAATAAAAGAAATTAAAATCATTTCACTTAAAGAACAAAAGAATGGTTTTTTGTAAATATTTCGATTATATTTATCAAAACAATTTTATATTCAAAATACTTTATAAATATTTATAAAAAATTATCTGACTAAATTTATCTTTAGTACTACCTTGTCTGATTATTTACTTCTTTATTTTTTTATCAATATTTTAAACTTTGACAACAAATGATAACTTAAGTCTATTTTTTATCAATAAAGAAAAATAATACGGAGTATGTCTTTTGACTATGTAAATTTAAAAAATAACCTTACTTTAAAAAATAATGTGAAAAGTTGTGATCTATATATTGTTTTCTCTCTATGAAAATAAGGAAGTAACAATTATTTCGTTTTTTGTTCATGGTGATAGAGATTTTTTTTTGGAGCATGTTACACATACCCCAAAATTTGTACTCCATTTATACACCAAAGGTATGCACCAACATTTTGATGGTTCACACTGACACAAAATGTTGGTGCGTTAACAAAAATTTACACTGACATAAAGTGTTGGTGCGTTAACAAAAATTAGCATTACACCAACACAATATGTTAGTGCATCCCTGCGGTGTACAAAACGGGGTACAAATCCTTGTGGTACAAATAGTTTTAGGCTCCATTTGGTACACGGAATTCAAACTACAGAATTGGAATTGAGAACTTCAATTCCGATTATGGTGTTTGGTAGTACAAAAATTTTGTGGATTTGGAAATTCTAGTGCAAAAAAAGAATTGGAATTGGTGAATTCAATTCTATGGAATTGAATCCCATGAAATTTCAATTCCAATTCCATCAATTCCGTATACCAAATGGACCCTTACCTTTTTTTTTTGGTTATTAAGGCTTATTCCAGTATGATTTACTGTTTCATTCCCCAAACTGATTTAGAACCTTCACACCAGAAACAGGAATTTAACAACTTTATTTGGGCCCNTTTTTTTGGATTGTAAAAAAGCTGTAAAATAAAATCGTTGGAATGACAAAGAGTTGACACTGGGGGGGGGAGGGGGTTATGAGTTGTTATAGTACAGTGTTTGTGGTCCTAAAAAAGACCAAATTTAAAGTTGTGTGTGACAATATTGAATGAAATTGGGTGCAGGTGGTTGTTGTTCTTAGAGTTTCACTTCATTGCAGAGGGTGTGAGAAGAAGATGAGGAAACACATCTCAAGAATGCAAGGTAATTCCCACACCACACAATTACAAAAATAAATGATGAAATTCGTTCATAAGATCATATCTCGGAAGAGGTAAATTGAACAATAATCTTGGAGAAAATTTTCGTACACAAGACTAAGGGTAGTACATTTTCTCAAATCGGACAACAACGACAATAGTAATAGATCCAATAAAATTTCATTAAAAAATAGGGCCTTAAGGAAAGTATGTGTACAACAATCTTTACCCATATTCGAAAGGAGATGCGTTTTCAAGAGACCTGTCAAGAAAAAAACTAATTCAACCAAAAGCTAGAACTAGTAATTGTAGATTCAAAAAATATTTTATGCTTTTCCTCACATGCGTATGAGATTTGTTTTTGTTTGAGCCTGACAAGTGGCCATTGATTCTTTTAAAAAAATAATAGTTGGCACTAAGGTTTAAACTCATGACCTTTTGGCCTACAAATCTTTGATATCATATCAAGTAATCAATTTAACCAAAAGCTAAATTTGTGGTTATATGCTTGGGAAATGTTTTACGCCGTGTACTATAGCACTCACCTCAGGAGGAGTCAAAGTAAACAATATAATTACAATAAGGATGAATCTCACATCTAGTCTCTCAGAATCGGTCGAACAATAACTTGGTCGGAAGTAAATAATTAGGCTATAATCTTAATTTAACAAGTAAAAAATGAGATAGAAATGATATCCATCCTTAATACATGCAAGGATTTCATGCTATTTTCAATTTTTATAGTCGTTAAGATTTGAATTTGGACATTGCCACATTCTGCACCCCTTCATTGTCATCTAAGCTCACAGGTGGATCCAAGTAGGCTTTGCGTGGCCAGTGCCCTAATCAATTGTTTAGTATAGTGTTATTTAAAAAAAATAATAAAAAAACAAAAAATTGTCTGAGGTCTTGAACAAAGGGTCCATCTTTTTTCTTGGATCCGCCATTGCAACAAAGCTTGTGTGTTTATGTAAATCTAAATAAGGAGATGTTACAATTTCTAATTGATTAAGACCTCGTTTGGTATTAGCATTAGAAATTAGCATTAGCTTTTTGAAAAGGCTATCTAACGGTAGCCTTTAGCATTAGTATTTTTCGTATTAATCTACACTTTTAATTTTTTATCCAAAACGCTAACGGTAATTGAAAACTCTCTTCCCAAACAAGACCTAACTTGGATTGTGGATTACTTGATTAAACAGGAGTGTCATCTTTCAACATAGACTTTGTAGCCAAGAAGGTGACGGTGGTGGGAGATGTAACGCCGTTAGGAGTTCTGGCCAGCATTTCTAAAGTCAAGACTGCCCAGCTCTGGTCACCTCCTCCTCCCTGTGCGGCGGCGCGTAGAGTTTGATTGTTTAGGCAGGCCTATAGCCTATTCAGGTTTATTTACTACGGAGTATATTAGTAGCTGCATTTCACTTGCTCTTTCCATTCTTTTTTATACTGATTATAATAATCTTTATATACATTAAAAAATGAATGAATATAGATATAAAATGTCTATATACTTTCGTTCGTTTTTTAATGTTTCAAAAAAATTATAATTCTCAGTTAAAAAAGAATGAATATGGAGTGTATTAGGTATAGAAGAAGGTAGATTATTAGTAGGATTATATGTAATATTGTTATTACTGAGTGAGAATTTGGTTTATTTTGAGTATGTAATATGTTCAAATTTTTCTAAAACTTCTTTTTTTTTTTGTAAAAATTTACTACAACAGACCTTTTTTTTAATTTTCTTGAAGCTTTCTTTCTACTCTCCCAAAATGAATAATAGTTTAGGGGTAATTTACCTAAATAAGACTAAAACATAATACTCCGTAACTTTTTTCAATATAGAACCATATATTTTTATTTCTCAATGTAGGATCATTGGTCTTTATCTATTAATCATTATTCAACTAAATGTCCAACATAACTTGAGCATTATTCTTCTCACTAGACATTATTAAGTCCTATTTAGAGAATAAAAAAGTTTAAGTCTTATATTGGGAAATGACTTATGTTTTAGTCCGCAAATTTTACATAGCTTAGTAAGGAAAAGTGAAATAATCTTTATAATCATTAGTCCTAAATTTGGTAACAACTAATTAGTTGTCTAAAACATCCTTTAATTATTTGTCACAATTACGATTGACCATTAACTAAATTCCGCTAATAACGTGGCCCCTATTAATTAATTTGAAGAAACAAAACATCCTTTATAATGTAATTACTCCGTCTATAAACACAATTAAGGAAGCCTTTGCAACTTGCAAGTACTATGTATTTATCACACTTCTTATTTATCATACTAAAATTATAACTCAAATCACCTCGTACCAAATTGTTGCTCGACCGGTCCTAAGGGACACTTGGGACATGATTCATCCAATGTGATTCATTAATGCCCGCTTGGTTCGTTGTTCTTGTATTGGTATCAAATATGGTCCATATTCTTTCTAACTTTTTATTTCAATTACCCATACTCCAAACTTCAGTCTCCGGACTTTAATATCAAATTCTATTTACAAGTTAAAATTTTCTTAAATTTTATACTCTCTCCGTCCCAAAATAATATTTTCACTTCACTTTTTTTTGTTGTCCTAAAACAAAGTTTTCATTCCATATAAGAAATGAAATGGGTGTTTCACATTAATCTAAGTTGAAGCTAGCAGACTCCAAATTCCAGACACAAAAGACCTCACTTAGAATTAAGGCAAAAAAAAGGTCATAATTGTGACAATTCCACATTGATACTACTAACACTATGTTTGGTTCAAGGAATTTGAAAAGAAAAGAAAAGAAAAGAAAATGACTTTCCCTCATTTTCCTCACTAAAATGGAAGGAATTTGATTTTCTCTCCTCTTTGTACATTTTGCCTTCTTATTTTCTTTTCCTTCCACTTTTCTTTTCTTTTCCTCTCTAATCAAACAAGAAAAATGTTTTCTTTCTCATTTTCTTTTCCTTTCCTTCTCAAATTCCTTGAACCAAACATAGTGTAATTGTTTGGTTGCACAAAATGATTCTCCACACTCATTCTCTCAAGCCTGAATCCCTAAACCCCATTTCCTCATACTACCAATCTCTACCTTCTCAACTCCATTCTTGATTCCAAACCCCATACAACAAAGTTAAAAAAAACATGTTTTTAGATGCAACTATGGCGAAAAACTCAAATTCAAACCCGTAGAAGAAGTACAAAGTTTCATCCAAGACGCAAAACCATGAACCCACAACAAAGATGCATTCTTTGTAGCATAGAGTTTTAAGAAAGAAAAGCATACCATATTAACCATCACAGTGTTTCTGAAGTTCTTGAGCTCTGCGTGAAGAGAAGAGGCTATACTGATTTCGCCCCCCCTTTCGGCTTTTTCCCCATCCCTTTTTTCGCAGCGAAAAGCTTTGCTGCAGCGAACCCATCATCAAGAAATGATGCATAAGGGTGGTCCTTCGGCACAAGCTCACGGACTTTCTGGTAATGGTTCTGAGCTTCATTGGCTTTCCCCAATAGAGTGTATATAACTGCTTGGCAGAGGTGTGGCCTGAAGTCCTTAGGCTCATCCTTTGCTAACTCGCGATAGAATTTCAAGGCCTCTTCGTAGTCCCCTTTGATAACATATAATGTGTTGTTGATTATGAGGTATACAACAAGTATATATTCATGGTACATTCAAAAAATGAATGAATGTAGACATATAGTGTGTCTACATTCATTCATTTTTTAAGGAGTTCTGAAAACCATAACGAGCAGTTAATAAGAAATGGAGGGATTGAAGTAGGGATATTAACCTTGCATTGCCCGAATTTCGGCCAATAAGAGCTTGAAATCAATCAGTTTGTTCTTGCTTTCATCATCAATGCACAAACTCATGGCCTCAAGAACCCTATTTTCAATCCCTTTCAAAGTTTCGGCTTGATCTTCGTCTGAAACTGCTGTGATCAGCCCGTGATAAGCTTCGACTCGTAATGGGTCCTTTGACAGGATTTGGTTGAAGCCATTTCTGGCTGTTTCGAGCTCCCCTGTGAGAACATACAAGTGGTTTTTCAAAACAGGCCATTCTACCTCGTTTGGCTCGAGCTCCATTAATCTGTCCAGTATGATTATAGCTTGAACGATTTGCTTGTTCCGGACCCTAATCTCCAACAGGCTCTTCAACGCCTGGACGTCATTCGGATTCGATTCCAGGATTTCTTCGAAGACTTTCCCTGTTTCAGATTCGGAAACGGCCTGCTGCCTGCCGGAATTTACAGTGGCTACCGGAGACGCGACTGCCGGGTTGACTCTGAGGCCGAATCTCCCTAGGAAAAGCGCGGTGGCAGTGAGGGTTGTCACGACGGCGCATTTCATGAGAGAAAAGGGCAATTGAAACGGGAAATCCGGAATTCCCGGGTAACCGGACGCGTATTCCGGCTTCGCGGCATTAGCGGCTGAGGTTCCCGGCGAGAGTGACGACGAGGCTTTGATGGTGACATACTGCGCCGGCGGTTGTGATGCTACAGAGATGGAGAAAACGGGTCGGGCCGGGACTGCACATTGGTTGGTGAAAGGAAGAGATCGTTTATGGTTTGGTTTCGCAGAGAAATGGGTCAAGGCGTTCATGGCGATCGGAGTGCCCTAAAAACCCGGAAGAAGAAGATTCAGAGATTCGACTGCATAGAGAAGTTTTGCATTATGAATTGGGCCTAAGGCTTGTCTCATTTGGGCCTCAAATATAGTTCAGAGGCCCTTATAAGCTCTTTGGTAAGTGATACTCCGTAATTCTCATTCCAATTACTTCTTAACAATTCATAATTGTCTATAGATTACACAACACAGATATATTTTGACTTAAAACTATAAATTACAGTTTAATTTTCAAATTCAATCCATAATTGTCTATAGATATTTTGACTTAAAATTAAAAATATTAGTTCAGTTTTTTTACAATCAAACTAAAAATATTTGTTGAACACTGTTATAAAATACGAGTAACTTTCAGACAAAAGAATTTAAATTTTAAAACACTTAATAATGCCCATCCTTTGAACATCATAAACAAATATCTTCTAACACTCATTGTAGTAGAGAATATAGTCTCACATCAAACACCCCAGCAAAAAAAGATTAACCATAAAGCCCCTCACAAAGAAAAAAGTACAATTTATTTTGGAGATAATATAGTTCATCTAGATCAACATGTCAAAATTTCTTACAATTGATTGCATCTTCCCTCGCAAGCACAACATGGATGGTGGTTTTGCTCATATAGAGATTAAGGTAGGCTTTAAGAATAATAATAATAATAATAATAATAGTAATAATAATAATAATAATAATAATAATGTCAATTCTATCCTACAATTTTGTTCTCCATGGGTTCTTTAGATGAAGGGTAGATAGTGAGGACTTCAAGAGGGGCAGTGTCCTTCTCTCCATTTGCAGTTGTTGCTCCACCTTTCACCATTTGTAGGGTTGGTAGTGATTCTTCATTGGTAGATATTGACTTGTGATCTTTGCTTTTCCCCCAAAGGACCATATAAAGCCCTACCACAATCACTGCAGCTCCAAGAACCCTGCAATTTTTTCACCCCCATATAATATGACTCATTGTTTCAAGTCATATCCTTATGCCTCTTTTTTTATACTCCCTCCGTCTCAAAAAGAAGGTTGCGGTTCTTTTTTACGTGTCCCATAAAACACTTTCATATCATCTCAAATGCCAAAAAAACTTTCAAAACGACTTCTACCCAAAACAAAGGGTAAATGTGGTGGTTTTTAGGCATTTTAGATGTGGGTAGAAGTGGTTTATGGGATGCGCAAAAAATGAAACATAACCTTCTTTTTGGGACGAAGAGAGTATAAAGAATTCTATCTAAATATGACTAAAACACGAAACTTACGTGCGTTGGAATTTGACAATGTTTTTTAACATTATATATTCGTATTATAAGTCATATTTTATTACTCCCTCCGTCTAAAAAAAAGGTCCTCACTTTGACTTGACACCAAGTTTAAAGAAAGTAAAAAAGTGTGGTTGAAACTAATGCAGAGGCGAGAAAAAGAGTCTGAGCCACTCAAAGTTTTCCTTAAAAGGAAAGAGGAGTCTTTTTTGAGGCATCTCCAAAAGAAAATAAAAAGACTCTTTTGGGACGGATGAAGTATCAAAACAGTGAAGGTCCTATAGCTATATGCCATTTTGAGAAATGGTTAATGAGAATAAATTTTTTTAAAAAAAAGAGAGTGGCATGCAATTGATTTTACCTTCCAAGGAACATTTGTTCTTTTAGAATGATGGAGCTCATAACAGCTACAATAACCATACTCAATGGGTTGAAAGCAGTGACAAAAACAGGCCCTCTATCTTTCATTATCACCCCTTGTATGTAATATGCCAGTCCTGAACAAAACACTCCCTGCATCCACACACACATAAAAGACATCACTTTCCGTTATATAATATTCGTCCAGATTGACTTTTTCAACTCAAATCAGACGAATTTCATTATCATTTACGATAATCCACAGAAATAACTTTCCCACATTTCTTTTGATACAGATTTTCGGTGTAACAGGCCCTACGATGTTACGTAGGGCATGAAACCGTCCATCAAAGTTTGTAATTCGAACCGGAAAAGGTCAAATTGGACAAATAATTAGTATTAATTTTAAAAAAAGTTAGAGTGGTGCTTAATTACACTATAAAGGGCAGCAAGAAATTTGGTGTCCCAATTGATGGACCAAACAGAAGGGTTGCCCCTCTCCATGACAAGTGCCACAATGGCTCCTTCACCAGTTCCCAAAAGGCATATCCATGCAGTCATTGATAGCTCTGTGGGATATGTTCTCAATGTGATTGCCTATTTGTTCATGGACAAAAAAAAAACACATTGCAAAAATTAAAATCAGTATAATTAAATTTGGGTTAGGAAAATAATTATTGCAAAGTTTGATGTCTACTACTCTTTCCGTCCCAAAAACAACTTATTTACTTACCTGCATCTCCTATAATACGCTTTAAAAAATGCATCTCCTATAATACGCTTTAAAAAATGCTTAGTACTTCATTTACTTTGTTTCGAAACGAATATGTTGCCAACAAAAGTTTTCTCACTTTTCAAAAACACTATGAAAGCTAAATAAAGTTTTTTGAAACGGAGGAAGTATATATGTGTCAGAGATACATTCGGTAACACCTCTAGCTGTTTGAAAAGATTGTCTAATGACAATGTTTATTTTTAGCAAATAACATTTTTAAAGTTAATGTACGCATTAAAAATTTGTCTAAAATACTAACACTAATTTGAAACGTTGTTCTCACACAAAGATTATATTATATTTAGGGGCATTTTTACTAAAACTCAAATAGTAATTTTAACTAAAATCTAGAGTAGATGTAATAATTGAAATCTGGAAATCAAAATATGAAGTCTAGATCTAAAGTCTGAAAAATTGGAATATAAATTACTCCATTCGTCCCAAAAAGAATGTCATATTTTACTGTTCAAATATCAAAGGAGATTTTGTTTATTGTTACATTTTCACCGATTATTTGATAAAATAAAATATCTTTTAGTCTCCTATTTTGAAAAAACTTCTGACTTAGTTTTAAAATATTGAAATATCATTTCATATTTTTACCCCAATTTCCAAATATAATGAATATAAAAAAATTTGAAATTTTATTTTGTTTCGTATAATGTGACAAACATTTTGGGACGGAACAAGTATAAAGTGTGGGTAAAGGACTAACTTGTAGGATCATGAAAGAAGCCCAACTCAAGCAGCCGAAGGAGATCATGAGGGCGCCTCGGATAGAATGGGCTAAATCAATGGCACCAGTTGGGTGCTGATGGGCGTTAGATTTGGCCCAAAAAAGATGGACCATTGGGCCTTTCAGCAGCGTCATCATCATCGCTCCCCCCACCGTCGCCACCGTCCCGATGATCTTCGCCTGGCTCGGGATGCTCTTCACCCTCACCTTCTCAAGTCTGCCCATTTCATATCAAACCAAATAAATGACACTGTGACACGCCTTTAATTTGACATTTTGAGTTTTTGATGTTCCGTCCGTCCTAATTTAAATTGTCTGATTCGATTTTATGAAATTTGGCTGAGATTATTTTCGATTCAATTTAAAACCAAAATTTACGTATTTAAAACTATCTCAAAAATCTATGTTGCACGGATTTTTCAAACAGGTGCCACTTCCCGTCCCCGAAATATCCCCATTCGGAATGGGTACTTGGGGGTGCCCCACGCCCAAATCCTTTATGAATTATGAAAAAATTGATATGTCACGCTTCTGACCTTGTCCACGTCTCAGTGCAACTTAGTCAAAAATTCTACAAAACAGTTAATGAAAAGGTGATATGACTCTGACTCTAATTTTCTATCAAATTAGTAACCAAAATATGTGAAATAAACAAACAAAATTTGACTCTGTAAATAATAAACAAATAATTTAATTTCAAAGTATATTTCATAATGTGTTGGCACTAAAATAAAGATGTTCACCTGAAAATGCATGCCATGACAAAGGTTAGGGCAGGTAAGATGTTGCTCATTGAAGCTGCAAAAGTTGCTGTTGTATATTTCATCCCTATGAAGTACATATTCTGGTCTATTACAGGCCTGTAAAATTGTTGCACAAAATTAATTAAAGAAGCATAAATATATACATATATAATCATCAAAGGTTTACACCAGATAGAGTCTTTCTTTTGCTTTAAACAAATTTGAGGGTGGTTCTACAGTCTTCCGTTGGGCCCGAAACCGGGTCCTACCCCGCGAATCCAATTCCTTGTATTTTGTCGAAATGTTACAGTTATTCGACGAAATGCGAGAATTGGGGTTAGATTTGTGGGATACTATAAGGTAATATGATTCGTTCTCGGGTCAAACAAAAATCTATAGAACCAGAGTGTCATATTATGACATTTGAAATTGATGTTAAAAAAATCGTGATATAGAATTATATAGAAAACTCACTCTAATATGCTAAGAACTGCAAGCTTGGCAAAAATTGGGAGCGTCATTTTCGGCCTCTGTTTCCTGTTGAAATTGTACAACTTTTTGGTCACGTATAAGAAACAAACACTTACAACCACAAAGTAGAACTCTTTAATGTGTCATTTTGACCATCATTTACCTAAAACTAAAACATTGTCAATCTACAACTTTTTTAGCTCCATTGGCAATGTATTACTCCCTCCGTCCCCCAGTTTTTATCCACTTTTGACTTTTGGAACTGTTCATCTAAGCACTTGACTCATCAAATTCTCTCAATGTGTAAGCCTAAATATAGTCATGTGTGATCTTGTTTGATTTGTCTTAACATATAGATTATTAATATATAATTTTTATAATTTTTTAAAATACAAATTACAAGATAAAATAGATTAAAGAAGTGCATTGGATGGTGTGTAAAAATGAAAGTGGACAAAAACTGGTGGACGGAGGGAGTAATTTTTTTCATAGCTTCATTCATCAATATTTAGATAATACTTCCTTCATCCCAAAACTAAATTTCCACTTTCAATAATTGACATCCCTACTAAACTAAAGTCTCATTTATATACTTGATTTGCTTAACTCATCAATTAATTATGATGTCTCTACTTTTCAATTAACGTGTGTGAAAATGACATTCTCATTTCAGTTTTTAACATGTTAAATGTCATAATTACTCCTATTTTTTTCATACATACCATACCTTATCCACCATCATTAGGTTCTAAGTGGACATTTCCCACTCTTCTTAAAAAAGGGATGAAGCCCCTAGCTCGAGTGCCCCTCAACACTCGTCAGACACTTAGCTAAAAGAAAGTAAATTGAGCTATAATCTCAATCAAAAAAGTTTTTTGAATCTCTTTTTAAAACTGTGCAAAGCCAACTTGAGAAGATCATTCTCGGACAGGAGTTTTTTTAACACACTCCTGTTTCTCCATGACCTTCATTAAACGTATTACACTCGCTCTCGCTCTCGTTTCAATATCATTTCAAGAGCAAAATATGAAACAAGTGAAACACACTTTAACATTAATTCTAATTTGTGTAAAATCCAAAAATGAGACTTTAGTCATGTGACACTAATAAAGCATGAAACATAGGAGAGAGAGAGGGGGGGGCATACTTACTTGTCAAGAATGAAGGCAAAAGGGGCAATGACCAAGGTGGCAACAGCATGTCTATAAACAACAAAGACATAGTTGCTCATCCCTTCATTCAAAGCAACCTTGGAGATGATGTCCATTCCTGCCAAACCAAACTGCAAGAATATCACTGCCAAATATGGCTTCCCTCTTACAAACAGATCATGCATCCCCTTCATTCTTCTTCTTCTATATCTCACTGCCTTGCAATTAATTAATTAAGCTTCTAATTATTATTATAAATTAATTATATAATTAAATGTAATAAACTAATAATTATAGTTTGCTTGCAGTTATTGCAGCTAGCCCTATATATGGAAATTAAGAGAAGTGCACTACAAGGAGTTCATTATATTTATATAGGCTAGAGCTCAGAGAGAGAGAGAGAGAGAGATGTGGTACATATTGGTTGTTGTGTATATATAGTGAATTCAACCTCTATCATCTCCCTTGCTTTTCTTTTTGGCACCTAGCTTAATTCTCACATACTTCTATTTTATTATTCTTCAAAAAAAAAAAATCTTCCCAGTTTGACTTTTTGATGAACTGTCAACATGTTTTGCCTGTTAAAATTAGGATTTTTTATACTATTAAATGGACAATTTTATCCTTAAATGATGGGTTGGATCTAATTTTCTTTTTTTGTAGTTTTAAAGGTAAAACTGACTATTTATTACTCCCACCGTTTGCAAAAAGACTTCTCATTTTGATTTGGGACAAATATAAGGAAGTGTTAAATTATAGTTGATTTCCAATTTTGTCCCTGATGTGATGGGTAAAAGTAAGATGTGATGGATAGATTATTAGAGAAAAAGTATGATGTGATAGGCAGGGTATGAAAAAGTAAGGGTAAAAGAAGTTTTTTAATAGAAAGGGGAAGTGTTTTGTTGGAAGTGGAAAAAATGAAAGAGGAAGTGTTTTTAAGAACAGAAGAAATATAAACGGAGTGATTTAGCAAAAACGAAAGTGGATATAACAACACCCTTAAAATTAACTTTTACTCCGTACTATATTAATAATCTTGTTAGATTGCGGAGTAATTAACTTGTGCATTTTGTGACGAAGTGAATGATTATGAATTATGATACTCTATATATACTTAAATACGTTTTCATCTCTTTCTTGTGCACTCTACCAAATTAAAGTGACACAAAATCTCTACATCCCATTAATGTTCTTTGTAATTATTATTTGTATATATATAAGGAATTCTCTACGTTTTAGATACGTAAGGTTCTTCTCAACTTTGCTAATTAGTCGAAGATACTTATTGAAGTGAAGTTGCTTTGATTATTTAATTTGGATGGTGACTGAAATATAATAATGAGATCTATATCTCATACTTTTCTACCCTCATACTATGAATATACTAAAATCATGTTAATACTATAAAAATATAAAAAAAAAATCATTGCCTAGCCTATAACCACAAGTTCCACCATACATATAGTTGGTATCTCTTAGATTGAGTTCATGTTTGATAATAATGGTTCTGATCTAATTGGAATAAGTTCTGATTTGATTTGAATGTAGTTATATTAAAATTTATTTCTAATTTGATCTGATCTGGTCTGATCTGATTTCAATAAGAATAAGTAATTTAATAAGTAAAAAGAATAAGTTGAGGAAAACATGGCCTTACAATTACAAATTTAAATTTGAGAAATTTACCTAAATAGGACTAAAAATAATGACTTTCCCAATATAGGACCATATGTTTTTATTTTCTAATGTAGGACCTTTGGTCATTATCAAGTAGTCATTATTCAACTAAATGTCCATCATTACTGGACATTATTCTTTCTACTAAGTCATTAATAAGTCCTATTTGGGGAATAAAAAAGTTTAAGTCCTACATTAGGAAAGTCATTATGTTTTAATCCTATTTAGTGCAAATTTCACTTTAAATTTTTGGTTGAATTAGTTCTTTGACACAAACCATACAACATTACCAAATCACACAAGACTTATAAAACAAACCACTCAACTTGGTATCATTTCTCGTGTGGAGTGTCGATTGTCGTTGCTAACAACATTGATTTCACGATGAGGATGAAGCTGATATTAATACCGACAGTCCAAAAACTAAAGAAACGTCTTTTAAAAGAATCAATGTCATGCTTTTTTTACAACGGAACACTGATAAACAAACTATTTTTTAGATAAATTATTTTTTTACAATTACTTTTTCGTTTCATAATATAATGGTGTTTCCATATGTGTTGTTTCTCGTTGGGAGGGTCGATGGTCGGTGCTAACAACACGGATTTCACGACAATGACAACAGTTGGCCGGGCCCACACAGAACCTTAGCTTATTTGTAAAATTATCCATATGTGGCCATATTACTAAATATTTGTGTACCAATTATTAAACTATCACGTCATACAAAACTGGTAAACAGACAGTACTTAATTAGTTAAACTAATTTTCATATGATTACTCTTTTTGTTTTATAATATAATGATGCTTCGACTCCATGTTTATGAAACGTTCCTGGTTTCCTGTTTCTCGTATTTCTATTTTTGTGCAACATATATAGACATCATCATCAAAAATATCAAAAATTATATGGAGTATTATATTACACCATGTATTTGATGGGACTTAATGTTGATCTAGGAGTCATCAAACTTTAATGACCATGATTATTCCCTAAACATTATGCGGAAAACCCAAACATATATAAAACTACCATTGTGCCCTTACAATGAATGTACACATATAGGGACAATTTGTACACTCATGATTTCACTCCATTAAGATTAGTGTCCTCTCATTTGCAAACCCACTTTTTGGTTCATTTACATAACAGTTTAGTGTGTTTAATTTGTTGGTTTGTACTTTCTGCTCTGGCAGTGCTCTAAATGGTGTCCCATATATGTATTCATTTTATACACATTTTAAAGCTCCTTTTTTAATGGAATCTGGCCTGGGTGTTTTTACACTGTGAAATGCAAAAAAAGAAGAAGAAAGACATTTGTGTGTGGGGTTTTGTCATGGTGGCTATGTTACTCTTTGACTGATACAGAGACTCCAATCAGTGCAAGTACTATATATATTTTGCAAGTGCTTTTTGTACCCGTCATCTCCTCCATCACACAAATGGCTCGCGCTAGAAATCCAGCACGGTTGACATCACAGGTGACACCTGTATGTGAATTTGTACGCACACTGACAATCGTTACCTGTGTGTACCAATTTACATACGGTTAGTTGTTGTTGGAGTTCTCACATTGAAAAACAACAAGAAATACTACTAACATATATGGAAACGTGAAGTCAAACTCGTCAGCTTAAGCTTGTTGGTTAAAAAGTAGATCTCGACTTTATAAGCAAATTATTAATCTAACCCGATATTCTATTTGTTATTCTTGGCCCTCTAGAATGTTGAGATGGTACCTGAGCAGGTCCGATCCGGGCTCAATCTTCTTGATTTTTTGTACTTGGATTAAGCGATATGAGCTAGTCATTCATGCTTTGGGTTGAATTCGCTATAAAAGATTAAGATGTCTCTACCTGTTTTATGAGCTAGCTATAGAAGATTAAGATGCTAGACTTGTTTGTGCAAGTGCTAGTCTTACGACTTAAGCTTTTGGGTTAGAAAGTGAATTCTGACTTTATATGCAATTGGTTGTCACAATTCACAAGCAAAAAGAGATAAATATCAATGTACTCCGTAATTTTTATGTTGCAAATTCTTTTGAGTTGATTTTTTTGATCAAATTTTATACATTTTGACTTTAAATTATAGAAAAAATATATTTAAGTACAATAAAAAGTTAACATGATTCTGATTATTTTAAGATGTAAATTTGAATTACCAAATTTTTATACCATTCAATTCAATTATTTAAAAGTAAAGTATTTTGGAGAAAAAAAGCAAATTGTAAAAAGTTTTTGAAAGGAAGGAGTATTTGTGTAGCAATAGGGTTAGCTGTTTAATTGAACCTTGTTGGAGAGGCTTTTTCTTTTTTCGAGTAGGCAAATTCTATGGATCTATATATAATCAAAATAAGTATTTTCTTTACTAGTTAAATGTATTTTTTTTAAGAATAAAAAAGATTTTTTATGTGAGAAGATTTATAAAATTGATATGCACTCAAGCTGCACCAAAGAAGCACTCTTTCAATTAGTCAAAATAATCAATATTTTCACCACCTCATCATTTTTTTGATCATGCTCCTTTTCAAGACTCATAATACATATGGAGTATTATTTTACTTACTCCCACCTACTTACGGACTCATGTGTGACACCTCATCAAGTCCCGTCAAGCCCACCACGGTACATAGTCTTACGGGGACACCAAACATGACACAATTTGATGATACCACTATCTCTCATTGATAGACACAAACACTAAAACATTATCCTGTCACAAATGATGCCCTAGGTTTTTGTGCGATAGAGTTTAAGATTGGAGTATGGATCATCATTAGACTGGGACATAAGATGTTTAGATGAGCCCTATTAAAAGATTAACTTTAATCGATTAACCGTTTTTACTCAATACCTTATTAATTTGTTATTTTCTTCTCTATTTTTTAAATTTGAAATAGACTGTAACATGGTGTTTAGTAATTTCACGAATTTGTTGCCCTTGGAAACGTCATCGAAAACCATATAATATGGAGAGTATTCTTGCTGTTATGTATGGTCAACATGATTGTTACAAACTTAAACTGACCAACACTTTTTTGTAACGTACCAAATGAGAATTTGCCCAACTTTATTAGTAATATAAGAGTCTTCCCAATAGATAAATCCATGTATCTTTGGCCCAAAAGCAAAACTTTCTCCGGAATTAAAAATCTTTCATGTTTTAACTTTTTCAGTCAAACAATAATATTCTTTAGCACAAATTTAATATAATCTAAATAAATAAATAATATAAAAATTTGATATATCAAAACTTTATCTTAAAATGAATACAATTATATTAATTTTATATTATAACTAACTATACTTTTCTCACAATTTCTAAAAAAGTCAAAATATGAAAGATTTTTTGAACAAGAGAGAGTAATATAATCTTGTATAAATGATGTGTAATAAGATGAATACCGATTGTCATGGCTGATCCAAAAAATTGAAAATCATATCGTGAAAGCATGTTGGCGTAACGGCAAGGAACGGAAGGAAGCCACACAAAATTTTCCACATATAGTGTTTGAACCCCACCAGTGGGAGGTTGAGAATAGTTTGAAAAAGATCATAATTATGAGTAATGTTTATGAGGTTAACCTCTACTACATGCATTAATATTTCAATATTTAGAATTATGACACTATTTTTCGCGATGCATGAAGCAAATAATTGCAATTTCAAAGAATTTTTTCGATTTAAACTAAAAATAGCATATAACCTTTTCTGGGCTTAAAATTACAAAATTGAGTTTGTGGTTGATTTGATTTTTTTTACATGATATCGGAGTATTGCTAACCAAGATGTGACGAGTTCAAATTCACCATCACCTAAAAATTAAATGTCTTTGCTCAATTCTTTCTATACATAATTAACCAAACTCGTGTTTAATTTGAGTAAAACAAATCACTCTCTTTTGAGAGAGAAAAAAACTACTCCCTCCGTCCCATAAAACCTTTCTCCTTTCTTTTTTCATCCATCCCACAAAACACTTCTCATTTCTATTAAAAAGTCACTTTTACCCTTTACTTTTTTATACCCTACATATCACATCATACCTTTTTACTAATAATTTATCCATCAAATCATACTTTTACTCATCACATCAAATGACATTTTTGGAAATTCAATACCAAAATACACTACCCTTAAATCACTCCTAAAAAGTAAAAGTCCCATGTTTTACGGGACGGAGGGAGTATAGAATATTTTTGTGTTGGTATATTATAATAAAAGTATACCACTTTTCTCTTTGGTGTGTGTGTGCATGAAGAGACACACCAACGGCCAATTAGCCATACGTATGTGACCAAATTAAATATAAGCGAATTAATTAATTTAACATCTTACTATAGTTTTCCAATGCAACTTTAATAATTGTGGTTTTTACACCCTCCTATTGGTTGTCTGTTTTGCACAAGCAATTGTTTTCTTAAACCAAATACCCATAAAATTATTTCAAAGACATCCCCTTTAATGATACCCAACTTTTTCTATTGCAATTTGCATCATTCTTCTACAATGGTTAATTTGTCCAATTATTATACTCATTTAGGGTTTATGTTCCATAGGATTTTTGTGTTTTCTATCTCAAATTTATGTTCTTAGCTTGATTTATAGGACTCGACTTAGCCCGTGTAGCGAATTAGGTGAACCACGTGAGTTGTAAAATATTAAAACCGGATATTAAAGCTATCACAACAATTTCAAAATATAGACTGGTTCGCGTAAATACCAAGACAATTAATTGTATTGGGTTCTTGGACTTTGGACTTATGGATTACAATTTACTAATTTAAACTCAGTATTTGGTTTGTTATTTTTTTAGTAGCTCTCATAATCATTAGTGTACTTTGTATTTTTCAATTTTATAATTTTAAGTCCTTAAGCATAAGGTTGATTCAAACATTGGATGCGGAAAAGCTTGATGCGATTGAAATTTTTTAGATGAACAAGAAACAGTGTTAGTCATGATGTCCATTTCTTAAAATTATTCCATAAATAAAACGAAAATTTGGAAAAATGAAAAAATAAAATTAGATTGTGCAACATAGAGAGTATATATATGAGCATAAAGTTCCACAAAACTAGCTTTTCAAAAAGACTACTACTATTCAACATCAGTGTACTGTCTTTTTTCAAAAACGGTCTAAGGCCAATTTAGTCTTCAAGAGAATGAAGAAGACTCATTTGGACCACTTAGGATCCGACCACCAAATTATATACGAGTAGTATAATTGGATGTACCGTACATCATGTCAAACTATTCTAATTAAAAATTGTTTCATAATGAATACACTGTGGGTTCAGAATGAGCACACTATGCTGAGTAGATTTGAAATTAACATTACGCTGCTTCAGAATGAAGACTACGTTAATTCAAAATGAATATTTACTCGATATACCTAGCTCTAGCCAATATATGAATTAATGAACTAGGTTGCCACACAATTTGTATCCACATGCGCACCATTTTCAAATCTATTTAAAGGTAAAACATTCATTGTCAATTAAAATATAGTCTCATTTGAGTAATTAATAAAACAATGCGGAAGCATTTGACATAAAAATACTCTTGTAATTAAATAAGTAAAACATGAGAAATAATAGATATAAAACAACATCTTGAGCCTTCCACTAATAGCGACCTAAAAGTCGCACACATGAAAAAAGGTGGAATTATTTCTAGTAAAAGTAAAAAATTTGATAATTTTTTGTAGATCGCGGAAAGATGAGATTATTTCGATTATTTTTTTGTCAAAAATTTTATAATATAAAACGTGAAATAACTATTTTACTTTATAATTGATCAATAAAAACTTATAAGTAAACAAAATTTATTGAGAAACTCAAATAGTAAATGTGCCTTTTTGGTATGCCAACAGAGAGGGAGTAACAGTAATAACTTGTGATCCGCAGTCCTCGGAAAAGATTATTGAGAAACTCAAATACTCTAGCCCGCATGGGCAGCTCAGTTGGTCAAGAGCGTGAAATCTTGGACCGATGACCAGGGATCGAGTCCCGCAAGCGGCAGTGTGGGAGCTATCCAAAAATCCCATAAAGGGTGAGGAGGCTCCTTGTGCGTGGTGGGCACGGGTCTAGCGTTCTTGGCCGACTGAGTCACCATGATTTACTTCCTCCACCATTCCTGTCGGGCAAGGGGGTGGGGGCGCCTGGGGTGGGCGATTCCACCTTTTGGACCGAGAAACTCAAATACTCCGGGAGTGGTAAATATCTAGCTACTTGTTAGAGTATAAAAGTATTCTAGGATATTCAATCACAAATGTGGACTTATAATTAAGTTGCTTTTTAACATTATGGTATCAGAAACTCTATAATTTAATTAAAGAGTTCGAATCTTACCGTTAACTAGTTTTAAAAATTACATTACTTAGTTCAAGGAATTTGAAAAAAAATTGATTTTCTCTTAATTACATTACTTAGTTCAAGGAATTTGAAAAAAAATTGAGTTTCGAACTCGTGACCTCTTGGTCATCAAGGCTCTGATACCATGTTGAAACAATAGACTTGAGCCCAATTCAACCCCAAAAGTTAACTCAAGAGGTTGAGGTACTCAAGCTATTAAATAGCAGCACAATATAAGGCTGCATTGCCGATGTGGGATGAACAAGTCAACACGTCCCCCTCACACGAGGCGCAGATTACTGCGGGCGCGGTTCCAACGTCAATGGCTTAGCTCTGATACCATGTCAATGAACCAATTCAACCAAAAACTCAAGCTTGTGATTGTGGCCCAGGAAGAGTTATTTATATTTTAACACATAGGAACAACGTTAACGCTGTTTTGGATAAAATTTTAATCATGTAGTTTAAGTTTTAAAATCCTAAAATTAAATGTTAATGTTAAATTCTAACGTTCTTGTCAAAGAAGATTGGCTCTTCATTATTAATCTCAACCTAGCTTCATGTAAAAGTCCTCCCAAT